TTTTTGGTCCTTTTGAGACAGGGTCTCCCTGTAGCCCCAGCTGACCTGGAACTCACTATGTAGACCAGGCTGGCCATCCACCTGCCTCTGCCTCCTAAGCACTGGGATTGAAGGCCTGTACCACCACCATGCCTTTAACCTTTAATCACACTCTACCTTCAAAAGATAATGAACTCCTTCACAGAAAGTGTAAGAGCCTCCCAACTCTTATGCTCTGTTTTTATCCATTTTACTTTTATATATGTTACAAGCCCATAATCCATTGTTGTTTTATTTTACTTATTTATTTTTTTGAGACAAAGTCTCCCACTCCTGCCTCCTGAGTGCTGGGATTACAGGCATGAGCTACTGTACCTGGCAGGAAGGTCTTCTATGTTTATCATCACTGTGGCCATTTCTAGAGGGCTTAACTTCTGTATGTAGATCCAGGTTTCTTTGGGGGTTCATAGTCATTCTACCATAATATGTCACGTAATTCAGATTTACTGGTAGTGAATTTACTTAGATTTTACTTGTCTAAGAAAAGCCTTTGTTTATTCCTGCTTTGAAGGAAGTTGTTTTTACTGAGTAAAGAATTTTATATTGCCTTTTTTCTCCTTTAATGATATTGTCTAATTTCTGATGAGAATTTTGCTGTAGTTCTTAACTTTGTTTCTACATTTGTCTTTCTCTAACTCCCTGTAAGATTTTCTTTGTCTTTTGGTTTTCAGTAGTTTGGGGATGCTCAGGTGTAACTCCTCCCCTCCCCTCTGTGTCTTTTCCTTGCTTAATGTTCTCTGAGATTCTTGGTGATTTGATGTCTTTCATAATTTTTTGAAAACTCTAAGTTATTATGTGTCTTTAATTTCTGCAGTCTAAGATCAACCCAGGGCTTTGCATGTGCTAGGCACGTGCTACAGTCATTGTTTCTAAAAGTATTTCTCTGTCCTGTTTCTCACTCATTTTCTGTGACTCCAATTAATGGATTAGATAATTTAAGTGCTCTGTTCTGCTTCTCTACTGCCCTGCCCCCCTTCTGTCTTACTTGGACGGCTTATACTGGCTGTTTCAAGTTTTGGTCCTTCCCCCATCCCAGTTGTGTCAGGTATGCTGGGAAACCTAGCAAAAGCATTTGTCTCATCTCTTACTTTTATTATTATTATTATTATTATTATTATTTTATTTCTAGCATCTGCATTTGATTCTTGTTCATAATTTCTATTTAGCCCTGAAGTTTTCCATCTCTTCATGGGTTATGTTTGATTTGTCCACTATAGCCTTAACATACTAATCATATTTATGATTCATAATAATTTTTAATTATTTTAAATACCCCACTAGGTAGTTCTAATATCTAGATCATCTCTCATTCTAGTTCATTGATTTTTCTGTCTCTTACCAAAAATTTTTTTCCCTTTCTTGATGTGTGTGTATGTCTTATAATTTTTATATTGAATAGCAGATGTCACATGTAGGACCAAAGAAACTCTCTAAAATAAGTAACTTTTTTGGTTGGAATGGGTTTGCTTCTGCTTCTGGGCCTTTGAGCCAGGATAGATTTGTTGTTCTATGATTACTTTCAGTACACCACCAGCTTTGTATTCTCTCATGTTACACTTAGAGTAGGGACAAGATTTTTCTCAGTCTTTCTAGTTCTCTTTTCTGCTTTAGACCTTCGTGTGTACCCCAGGTAGGCTCTCCCTGCCTGCTCCCCTCTCCCTGCAGTAGGCTGCTCTACTTGCTTTGCTAGCCAGGGGTAGGCTAGCAGAAGTGGCTTTCTGCTGTATTGATTCAGCCTCAGACTTAGGGAGCCTCTGTGTCCCTGCATCTCCAGGGTATAGCTGTCAGTGACCCTGTCCCTACCTACAGGTAGATTTCCTCCCTTCCCCTGTGTCCTGGAAGCAGCAAGCTTTGGTACCCTTCCCCCAAAGCTCCAGGCTTTGTCCCTTGAGAATAAAGGATCCAGGCAAGCCTCACATCTTCTATAGTATTCCTGCTCCTTCCCTCCAGGTCTGTACTCCAGCCATCTTCCAGCTTCCTCCATGCCCTGCTTCTAGTCTTTCTCCTAGAGTGCCTGAGTAGAGTAGCCAGGATGTGAACACCTGCCTTGTGTTCAAGACATCAAGGAATCTAGACTCTTCGTTCTATAACATACACCTGGCCTTTAACATCAGGTTAAAAATGTTTGCTGATTCTTTGCTACTGTAGTTTGTTTCTCTGTGTCTCTATGGTATTGTCTCTTCCCAACTCCACATCTACCAATAGCATTCTAGGAGCTTAAAATCAGCCATAGTGGAGATATTCCCACAGTACATAGTGCACATCAAGGCTTCTTCCCCTGAGAGCCAATTATTGAACATTTGCCAGACGACTGTTTGGAGAAAACCCAAAAAGGTTGACCATCAAGATTGGTGCCTTTGGTGAGTGGCTCTGAGCCTCTAGGATGGGTTCGGCAGGGTCATAGTACATGCTGAGGTCACCTCTGCTGCAGTGCAATCCTGAGCCATTTGATAGCCTCGCCCTGGGAGGCCCCTCCATACTAGAAGTGGTGTGAATTCATGTTCCTGCCTTCTCTCCCTCTTCCTTCAGACCGAAGCCAGGACAGCACAGCTGTGGCACTGTCAGACTCCAGCTCAACACAGGACTTCTTTAATGAGCCCACAAATTTCCTAGAGGGCTCTCGGAAGCCCTTCGCTGAGAAGAGACTGTCTGGGCTCAGTGCTCAAACAGGCCCAACTGGTAAAGACCTTCCAGGGCCCACAGAGGAAAAAGGTAAGAAGCCTAACTTGGTGAATTAGGTCTGTCTGCTTTGATGCCCTAGGGCAATCCAGGTAATGCTGAGGATTCCAGACCCAGGAACAGCTTAGACTTAAGCCTGGCTTCTGTTCTCATTCTTCTGTCTTCTGCTCAGGGATGTTGGTAAGTTACTTGCCTCTCTTGGGCCTCTGTTCTCCTTGTAGGATGGGAATGGTCCCAGTGCCTATACCCAGGAATTGTGAGGATTAAGTGAGGAAGCTCTTGAAGGTATTGACACTGAGCCTGGTGCACAAAGTATGCTGAGTGACAACTGTGTCATTGTTGTGATGACCCCCTACAGCCCAGTCTGGGAAAGCCATGTCCACAATGTCAGTACTTTTTTTTTTTTTTTTTGAGACAGGGTCTCCCTGTAGCTCTAGCTGTCCTGGAATTCACTATGTGGACCAGGCTGGCCTCGAACTCACAGAGATCCACCTGCCCCTGCCTCCTAAGTGCTGGGATTAAAGGCATGCGCCACCACTCCCGGCCTGAGTGCTTTTTTTTTTTTTTTAATTGGTAAATAGTTATTAGAAAAAGTCTTAGGATTCTAAATTTCACAAATGTGTTTTCTTTTTAGTCTGAATCACATCAGACTCCTTGGGAAATCTCCCTTTTTTGGGCAGAGGACTCTGATCTAAACTCAGGATATGCCCAACTCCCTTGAGATCCCCAAGCCTCCTTTGTGGCAGGCAGTCTGCAGAGCCCCACTTCTGGGCTGGTAAGGTGACTACAGGCACCCTTAGGCATTACTGGTATCACTCACAGGCTGTGACTAGTTGACCATGGATTTTGAAAGCTTTCTCACTCTGTGTGTGTGTGTGTGAGAGAGAGAATTCCTTTCTCCACCTCCCATCTTGCCATAAGAGCTCTGGAATTACAGATATGCTCTACTGTGTCTAACCTTACATGAGTTTAGGAAATTTAAACTCAAATCCTCATGCCTGTGTACCAAGCACTTTACCCACTGAGCTTTTCCCAGCCTGAAAACCTTCCCATTCTTGTTAAAGCCATGTGTACATGACCTTGCCAGTCCCATATTCAGTTGTCCCAGACCAGACACTACCTTTAACCATTTCATCTTCTCAGCCATCTTAGGAGGAAAGCACTGTGACTTTTCCTATTTCCTGAACGGAGAATCCAAGACTGAGAAAGGGTCAGGAGTTCAACCTTATTCCTATTTCCTGAGCGGAGAATCCAAGACTGAGAAAGGGTCAGGAGTTCAACCTTAATTATTACTCTATGCTGCCTTCTGGGTAGGCTGGATAGGGGATAATCTGTATACTCTGGGGTCCCAGGCCTAACCTTAGCAAGTTATTGCATAGGCCCTGGATGAGAAATATGGCTTGGGAGCTCATGTGCAATTTTGGGAATGGAGCCAAAGTCATTTACAGGAAGATGGGCTTCTTGTTCTTTGCTCCCTGCTAGCTTCCCCTGGCTGGCCTTATAGGAGACTTACCAGGTAAATTTACCTGTATTGGTTTCCATCGAGAGATAAGGTTAAAGTCAGGTGTAGTGCCATATACTTGTTATCCCAGTACTCAGAAGGCTGAGGCTGGAGGATCACAAATTTGATAACAGACATAGCAGGTTCCTGTTCCAAAACCAGAGGTGGTGTGGGGAGCACCCATTGCTCCACTTTCTCAGCAGTTACTAACCCCAGTCATGTTGACATTCTATAATATATATAAATGCACTGTAGGAAATTTAGAATAGGAAGGAACCAAGAAGTTTATGCTGTCTACATTCTAATAATTATTTTTATTTTATGCATATGCATGTATTGCCTGCGTGTAGGTAAGTGCACCCATGTCGTGCAATGTCCGTGGAGGACACAAGAGGCTGTGGAGCCCTTGGAACTGGAGTTATAGACAGTTGTTAGCTGCCATGTGTATGCTGGGATTCGAACCCGGGTCTTCTGCAAGAACAACCAGTGTTCTTAACCGCTGAGCCATCTCTCCAATCCCTAGCAAAGGTGTTTTCATGCTTGAGAACTGCCCAGAAAACTCACAGGACACATTTATAGAGCAATTGGTTTCTTGCTTATAATAATAAAATGTATATAAGGTTTACTTTAGATATTAAATTCTACATGTTTTAATTTAATTCCTTTGTGGCGTAAGTGATCAAAAGTGCCGCCAATCAAATCCATGGATTGTAGTATTATCAAGAATTTCTTTTCAGCCGTTGGGTGTAGCTAAGCAGTATCATAAAAACTTTAAGAATAGGTGCTGTAGTTACTTTTCCATTGCTGTAATAAACACCATGACAAAGGCAACATAGAAGGAAGAGTAAATAAACCAAATAGACTTACAGTTCTGGAGGGTAAGACTTCATCACGGCAGGGGAGACAGCTGGAGCACTCACATCTTCAAGCACGCACAGGAAACACAGGGAAAGAAACTGGGAATGGGATGACACTCTACATTCTCGAAGTCCACCCCAGCGACACACTTCTTCCAGCAAGGCCACACCTTCCAACTGATCTAAATTGATCCTAAAGTTTCGATGACCCTCTCCAAACAGTGACACCAACTGACCAAGTGTCCAAATACTTGGAGCCTATGGGGGATATTTTTATTCAAACTACCACAGGTGCGACTAAAAGGACATTTGGAATGTCCTCAACATCTCATGGGTGTGATGTATAAACATGCCACTTTTAAAATCAACATTTGTCTGGTTTCCAGCAATATTGAGCATCTTGTCGTGTGCTTGGTGGCATTAAACTCATTTTCCTGTGAATCTGTTTATTTCTTTTCCTGTGACAAGCCTAGACAGCTTTTGCCCAGAGTGAACAAAATCTGTTTTCCATTCCTTTTTAAGTCCACTTAAAATATTTTTAATATTCATAGGGCTGGAGAGTTGGTTCAGCAATTAAAAGCACTAGGACCTGGGTTTGAGTCCCAGCACCCACCTGGCAACTAACAACCATCTATAACCCAAGTTCCAGGGGATCTGACACCCTCTTTCTGACCTCTGCAGGCATTGCACGACACAGGTACCTCTACCTACATGTAGGCAGTACACTCATACACATAGAATAAAAATAATAGGGGCTGGAGAGATGGCCCCACAGTTAAGAACACTGGTTGTTCTTGCAGAAGACCCGGGTTTGAATCCCAGCACCCAC